GAATTCTGGAAATATACAGCTTGGGAAAGATGTTTATTTTCAGTCTTTGTGGGGCTTGGATTTGGGCATTCATATCTAGTTCCTTTCACAGCCCACAGCTCCACTAATACTTCCCATCACAGAAGGGAGGCCTGAATGAAAGGGAATCTTGAGTTGAGCTTTAAATTCTTTTGTCTGGTCCTCTTGAGGGAATAACTTAGTGGATTGTTCCTCCTCCCCGCTGTAGCCTTCTCCCACGAAGCCCCTGAAAGCATAACTTTATCCTCTAGAAATTTATGGTATGGCATCATATTGGGAGTCCTGAGCCGAAAAGCATTTTCTCACGGTGCACTGACGGAAGAGTTTGCAGCTGTCCAGAGAGCTGAGGCCAGCACAAGTCTCCAGAGGGTCACTTTGGAATCAGTTATGGTAACTGGTTTTCATCACAGACTGCAGTTGCACTGACTGAATTTTAATCACTGGACCTTTAATGGTTAACAATAACCCAAAGTCTTGAAATTTTAAAAGTGAGTTTTGGTGGCGTGGAATAAATAGCTAGGGTGTGCTGTATGGCTTGATAGCAACAACAGCTGTGTGTGAGCTAACCCCAGCCAAGATTACAAAAAAAGGTTTATATGTTGGCCAAAATAGTTTACTACTAAAACATTGACTGTTTGTGTGTTTTCCACATTTTCAACTGGGGTTCTTTACACAACATGTTTGAACTAATCTGTGCCTTGCCCATTATGACTATATTTTATCTAGGTCACTTCTCTTTGTTTACTTTCTTCCCTATCCCTAATCCCTGCTCTGAAATAACCAGCAGCCACCTTTGTTTCCCCTGTCAGTGGCCAGGTTTAGTGCATGCCTTCACGCAAAAGAGTGCAGCTCTGGTCTTTCCATCATCTTTTGGGTGTTATTTAGTGAGCTTCATTCACTCAGCCTGCATGGCAGCTAAGTCATTTCCACATGCTTGCAGCTGCAGTTTTACAATCTGCCAAAACCAAATTGCCTTTGAACGTTGTGTGCTCTTCTTTGAATACTTAGAAAACGTTATGACCTACGGGTGTTGTAGCTTGGGCTTGGCTGAGACTTTCTGTTTTATGAAGGAGCTGAAGTTGTAGATTGGAGTGTTCTAATGCTTAGAGAGCAGACAATGAATGCTTCAAGACCCAGGATTACATGTACACCCATACATAGAACTGGAAAAGCTCTGCCTGGCCATGTCTGAGGCAGTATGTGTTCCTGTTGTTTTGTTTGTTGATTTTTTGGCATTTTGTTGTTGTGTGGGGGTTGGTGGTGGTGGTTGATGGCGGTGGTGGGTGGGTGTGGTGATTGGCGGTGTGGGTACTCGAGTACATGTCACAATCCCAGTGAATCCTCATCTTGCACCTTATTTGAGACAGTAGGATCTTGTTTTGCCTCTGCATGCTTGAGGCTAACTAGTACACAAGGTTCTGGGGCTTCTTCTCTGCCTCCCATCTCTTGTAAGAGTGCTGTAATTACTGACATTACGTGTGTCCAGTTTTTATGTGGAAATTAGGAATTCAGATCCAGCTCCTCTTGGTTGTTCATCAAGTGTTTTTACCAACTGAGCCATCTCTCTAGCCCTGGTGTTTCTTTGAAGACATATACTGGATGTGACCCTTTCCATTGTGAAAACTACTGCTAGAGGAATCCGCTGATTTAAGGAAGGACATGGCTTCTTGGGTGAATTTAGGGTGAAAGGAGTTTACTCCTCTTTAATACACAGGTAACACTTGGCTCGTCTGGTTGGTGTGAAATTTAGCAGATTTTAAAGTGTTGAGTACTTTGTTGAGTGAGTCTTAGTTAAGTTAGATGTGCTTGGTTTTGTGGTTTTCTGTTTTCCCAATTGGGAGACCATGTCCTTTGCTTCACATTCTATGTTGGACTTATTCAGTATAAGTTTGGGTTTCTAGTAGTCACTCTTATATAATTATGGTTTGTGGAAGTTGTTACACTTGGCATGAACTCTGTGCATTTCTTAAATATGAATTTCTATAGAGACTATACCAACGTGAATGTAAGGTACTTATACACTCAGTTCTAGGAGACCTTTCAAATTCCCTGGAGCTTATACCAGTGGACACTCCTGCTTTGGGGAATTGAAAATTTAGTTTCTCTACATCAAGACTGACTTCATGTCTGTTGTTTCCTTCTGAGCTTTGTACACTTTCTTGCTTCTGCATACATTCTCTTAGACACGGTTATTGTATGTCTTTGAAGCTGACTGTTGTACTAAATAGTTGTTAATGGGAGAGACCAGCTTGGGTATTGATATATTCCTTTCAGCTATCTTTGTGTGATAGACCCCATAAAAATCATTATGTGTTAGTCCTTTTATAAAAGATTTGTTTAATGCTCATAGTTTGCTAGCATGTATATAAGCACACCACATTTGGGCAGTCCCTCTGGAAGTCAAAAGAGTGTCTGATCATCCCACCACAGCAGTGTAGTCGTAGACAGTGTGAGCTGCCATGTGGTGCTGGGAACTGAATCTAGGTCCTATGTAAGAAAAGCAAATGCTCTTAGCTACTAGGCCATTTCCAGCCCAGTGTGTCAATTTTAACGTCACCTTTTCTCTTGTTTAATGGTGTCATCATAGTGGCATTCCTAAGAACACAGAATTTAAGAGAAGAAAAAACTGAACATTTGTACTTTGTGTAAAATTCTAGTGTTTTGTTTTTATTTGTGTGTGTCTGAGTATAAGCTCACGTGTGTGGGAGCATGCACACCTTTACATGTTTGTGGGGAAGAGGGTGTCCTATCCCTTTGAGCAGAATCTGTGTGTTTCTGGAGCCATGGGTGTATTCACTCAAATGCTTTGAGATCACAGTATCCTGACTCCCTCTTGCCTGTGTCACAGAGCAGCCTCACCTTTTTCTCACACAAGTTGAATTTGGAAGCATCTTAAGAACCGTATCTGCGAGTATTTCTTCTCACCAGACTTGAACTTGCATTTTATTTGCCTCTTGCTCCAGTATTGCTTTTTGTATTCTGGTCAGCCAAGAAGCAAGATGCCTATGCTTGCAAGGACCTGCCACCACACCTTCCCTGCCATGATGAAACAAAGTCTCTAAAACTGAGTCAGATAAAGCCTCCTTCCCTCCAGTTGTTTCTCTCAGGTACTTTGTAATAGTGATGAAAATACAGGAAGCCAAAAAAAGTAATTGTCAAGAGTAAGGAAGTCCAAGAACAGAGCTGTGGGACACTTTGAGGTCAGGGAGATGAAGATAAGGAGAGCTACTGACTGATGGGAGACTATGTTCAACATGAGTGTTTCAGTTGAGCAAGGAGCATCGTCTGCATCCAGTGCCTGATGGTAAGTCACATAAAATGATAAGAGAGTTAACTGTTGCATTTGGTATCATGAGGAGTCCATCTTAGGTACAGTGGAGGGGATTGGTGCATGATTCGAGAGAGTTTAGAAAAAAATGTGAACATGAAAGAGAAACAAAAGGACCCTACTAGCTTATAGGGATAGAACCTTATAAAATATTTCTACAAAAAAAAAAATTCCTCACCCCCCATTGGTTGGTGTGTGTGTGTGTGTGTGTGTGTGTGTGTGTGTGTGTGTTCAAGCACCTCTAAGCCTTACCACAGTATTGCAATGTAGACCTTCATGATGTTGGCTGAGTAGAAGTGACTTTGCTGGGATCTTGGTTTAGTGCAAGCCAGGCAGGTTACACCTCGTTGCCTCTTACATGTTTTCCAGCCCTCAAAGAGGCCAGCTCCTTGAACAAGATCTAAGTGAGAGCTCCTGTTTACGTAACTGTTGTTTTGGGAGTTGGCTTAATCTCCTCCTGGTTTAATGGGTTTAATGCTTGTAGAGTTTGTTTAGATACCAATCATGTGCTTCTTTGTCTTATCTATGAGCATCTAAGCTTTAGAGGATAGCAGTTCTGTACCAGTGTGCTGTACCTTGATGGAGACCACTGTCTGCTCACCCATTCTCAAGTGGGTCTATGTACTCCATTTTGGATAGTTTTGTGTAAGTGTTTTTTAATAGGTATTCTGGGAAGTCAAGGGCTGTATATTTTTAATATTTTCTACAGGATTACAGTGTTCTCTAGGAATGAAAATAGAAACTAGAATCATGTTGACATTATGTAAGGAGGAAAAGGTGTGTGTGTGTGTGTGTGTGTGTGTGTGTGTGTGTGTGTGCGCATGCTCACTCATGCACACTTGCACGTAAAAGGAAGAGTGAGACAATGCCATCTTCCTGGGTTCCAGTTTTCATATGATGGAGCTTAGACTCATTTATGGCATCTTTATGCATAACATATTTATTTATAAGAGGCCTTTTCTTTTCCAAGTGTAGGTTATTTTGGGATGCTCTGATGTTCCCCTAACAAGTTTCCCAGGTTCAGGAAGTTGTAAACACTGTCCCTGTAGCTCATTTTCAGGCAGGTCCAGCTTCTCAGTGCATTGTTACTCTTATTGGCAAGCTTTAGCCTTCCTCTAGTGATCAGGAAGGGCTTTTCATCCAGGGTGTTCCTGGAGGCTAGACTTTTAGTTTCCTCTGAGGAAAGAGATGTCTGTCAGCTTAGGGGTCGGATACAGTTGCAGCAGTGTGCTAAAGCAAGCCAGTAGCCATATGCCTTAATTGGGGAACTTCTGTAAATTCAGTAGGCTGTTGAATCAGTGGTATGATTTACCACTGAATTACCTGACTTACAGGGTAGATAATTTAACAGAAAACTAGCCTCTACCAAGTCAATAAGCTTGTTTTTCTCATCTGGCAAGCCAACAATACCATGCATACCAGGGTGTGGTTGTACATTCCAGCACTAAGGCTGGGGGCAAAAAGATTGTGAATTCAAAGCCACCTTGGGCTATATGGTAAATTCCAGGCTGGCTAGGACTACAGAATGAGACTATCAAAAAACCCAAAAGGAATGCCATGGGTGTCTATCTTTGTAGCTGACATACAGATTTCAGGAGCATGGTTACACAGTTATTATTTACAAACAAACAGTGTCCAAGAGGAGACTAGGGTGTTTTCATTTTGAAAATGTTTTAATAAGTGTTGACAACACTGTTCTGCAAAATGTAAAGGTACTATACAAATTCTTAATACAAAAAGAATAAATTAAAAGCAGATTTCTCTTTTAATTCTGCAACTTTGTCTACAACATACATCTTTTTTATTGATTACAGTTGAACAGAATCCAGTAAAATCATTTTACATGCTCTACAGTCAGTTTCAGGAGCAACCTAATATTTCCCCTCATTATTAAACTAGAGTCCATTTTACACAACTTGTAATAAACTATTGACATGAATGGATATGTAAAACTTTACACCTAGTTAACTAAGCAGTAATTGGTCATCTGATAGCACCTGGATGAGGTTTGCTATATTTGAGAACTAAACTAATACTGAATAAAAACAAATTGGGATTTTTAACAGTTTCAACACTCACCTGCATATAACAAAATAAACCACCCTGGCTCACAACATAGTTTTCTGGCTGAAACAGGCAATTTCTTACGTGTACTCAAAGAATCCAGTAGGGGCTTTAGATCAGACTGGGGGCTTCATATTACATCTTCCTTTAAAGAAATAGGGACTGTAAAGCGTTTGCAGGTGCTTGCATACAACACTTAGAGTGTTCACCACCACACTGACCATTTATCATTGTCAGTCTCAAAAGGACTAATGCTTATTATGTACATTGTATTAACTGAACACAGCTAAACAGTAAAACCTGTTTTACTTAATCTCTGTCCTTACTATCAGACTATCCTGACGGTGTTCACAGCTTCCATACAATTCCTCTCTGCTCCCCAAATGTATTATTTTAGATTCTTTCTGCCTCTGTCATTGATCCAAGCTAATTCAGAACTGATTTTCAAACCACTGTCTCTGTTATAACCTGTAACCATGTAACCTTGTCTTCTTTGTTTCTCTTTGGACTTTTCCTGTTGCACCATAGTTCAGTCTAATTGTTCAGGCATCTCCTTTTGGAAGAAAAAAATTGACCCATTGTGTCACATTTCCTATTAGGGAAGGAAGGAAAAAAAATTCCCAAATAAATCTGCCTTTTGTAGCTCTGATATCATACTAGGAGCAAAAAAGAAAAGGGTAGCCCCCATCTCCATCAAGCCCCAGATTCTTTTTGTACCATTATCCAGTTTCTACCAATCCTACAGGGTTACACTGCAGTGTCCAAGAAGAGTACTGTTTAGTCATCAAGCTGGCCATGCCAGCTCTGGGGTATCTGGCCTTGAATGGGCCATAGAAAAATGGCAGAGGAGGCCTAAGACCTCATGGTATTAATATTCCTTGTTGACTTCCAGAGCTTTCCAAGCCACTGCAGAGTGAGCAGTGTCCATTGCTTACCCTCCTGGTGTGGTGCAGTCTGTTGTTCTTGGATTCACATACAAGAACAACAATGGTTTTTCTTTTGATGCCACAGCTAATTCTTAGATCTGCTTTCCCACAAAAGTACTCCCACCTTGGATGTCTTTTCATAGGCGACCCCCCCCAAGGCCCCACTTATGCTAACGTGTACTATACCTCCAGGGAAACTCTTTTGTGCCATGTTGAGTAACCCAACTAAGACTGTTCACTGGTGTAGTTATTATAAAATTTTGAGGCCTTTGAAGATTGATGGCTTTTTGATTGTGTGTTGAGCATAGCTCAAAACACATGTAAACGAGCAACTTGCACACATGCTTTTCCTTTTTTTTCTTTTTCTTTTCTTTTTTCTTTTTCTTTTTTTTTTTTTCTTTTTTTTTTTTTTTTTTTTTTTTTTTTTTTTTTTGCCGCCTTTTATCCTCTTGGTATCTGTGGACAGAGGTGGCAATCAAGGTCATGGATACTGCTGGAAGTGGATGGGCCCTTTGGGAGCGGAGTTGTTTCAACTCTGCTCTGCCTGCCGGCTGGTAGACAAATAAAAAAAATCTTCCTACCTAAGGGCATACTTGGGTTCTTTGACTAAGTGACACACAGGAGAGGTCCATCTGAGTTCTTTGTCACACACGTGTTAACAAACAAAATGAGCCACAACAGTAAAACACTTGAATAGATTGCAATGTGCTTTTTCCCTTGGTTTCCCATAAAAAAGAAAATGAAACGCCTTGTACAAAAAAGAAAGGTTACACGTTTACTGGCTGTTTTAACAAGAGAGAACCGCTTTTGGCAATGATCACCTTTAGCTTCCGACCAATCCCAAAAGGAAAACAGCTTCGGGGGCACAGGCTGAGGCCCCAGCATAGGGTGGTTAACAGCACCCTGCTCCTACTTCCAATCTGTTTTCCTTCATATCCAGACAGACAGATTCTGTATCTGCCAGGCCAGTCAAGCCTCCTCCGTCTTCACTGTCCCATTGGGTTCATTTCCAGGCTCTCGGGTAGGGAGAAGTGGGTCACGACAGGACATGATTTACAAATGGTTGACTTTCACTTGTGCTGCATAGAAGCAGTTTAGAGCTGAAAAGAAATTTCACTGCAGAAAAAGTGTGTTCCTCTTGGCCCCTCCTATCTGTCTATTGTTGAATGTGTCTAATCTTTGGCAGCATAGAACCGATAGTGATCCTCCGATGCGTCTCAGAAGCGCTGGTCTTCCTTTCTCTCTCTTTCCCTTAGATATTCTTGTAGGCTCTCTCATTACAGAATACAGAATATTTCTGGTATAAACTGAGTATCCCCATGAAGCATCCTCTTGAAGCACTCATTTGGCCTCTGGTGGCAGCTGGACACGGCTTTACAGTCTGCACAGATAAGTCTGTGTCTTTTTCCATTGTCTACCAACGCTTCTCTTTCCACAGGAGTTGCATATGTTGGCTTCCCTGACAGTTCCTGGCCTGGGGCTGTCATGGCAAAGGGAAACCACCAAGATGCCATTGAGGATTGTTGTCTGGCTCTCTTGCCCAGAGAGCCAGAGGACACACAGTGGGATCGGAACCTTCCAGAATGTCTCCTCAGTCAGGTTTTTGAGGATGAAGGGGATGTGGAGACAGGAGAAAAAAAGTGCCGAGGGCCGAAGCTGGTGCAGGTGACAGTGTGTCTGGGTAAGGCAACTGAGAGGCAGTGAGGTGACTCAGAATGGCGTGCGATGGTCAGAACAGGCCGGGCTGGCTCATACGAGGGTCCCGGGCTTGGCTTTTTCCTGCCCGTACCATTGGACATCAGCTAGCTCTGGATAGAGGGAGGAATCCAGGAAGCAGCTATCACTGTAGCTCCTGTGGACCCAAAGAGAGATGATGAGTTAGACGGGAACAGTACAGATGGGTCTGTGTTCAGGGTGCATGTTGAGTGACATGCCCTGGAACTTGCTCTGTAGACCAGGCTGTCTTCAAATTCACAGGGATCTGCCTCCTGAGTGCAGGGATTAAAGACTGTGCCACTACCACCCAGCTGTGCTTTTTAAATCAATAATGTTGTGATTTTATGAAAGTACTTTTTAAAACACACAGTTGGGACCAGGCCAGTAGTGCAGTGGTAGCATGCTTAGTGTATAAGGGCCCTGTGCTTAGTGCTCAGCACCAAAATTAGCATAAAGTAAAAATACAGAAAAATATAGAGAGAAGAAATAAGTTCTTTGCATAAGTATTATTAGTAGGTTAGATGGGAGTAATTACTAAGTATCAACAAGTGCTCACACAGATGAGTGGCTGCAGCCCTACTCACTTAAGGAGGTCTCTGAGTGTGGCTAAGCTATCCTTCAGTTTTCCCAGGCCTGGTGCCAGGAGGAGATGCCATTCTAAAGGGCAAAGTCCATGAAAGCTAGAAAAATCCCAAGCCATCTCTGAGTATTCTGGTAGACTTCCATGACAGCCTTGTGCTTGGAGCACTGGAAGTACATGAGGTTAATTCTGATTAAATGTAGCTGTAGAAACAAAGGCCCTTAGTTATGACACTGGTCAGGGGTGTCTATATTTTGAGGGTGAATGAGTGGATGATTCTGTTATACTCATTCTGCAAACATTGTCTCCTCACGCAAAATTGGCTTTTGTAAATTGTGTTGGGAGAACCAAGAACTTTCAATGGGAAAGGTGGCTGGACTCTGCTGGAAATATGCCCTGCTCTGGGGAAACAGTCCCTTTGTAGTGCTCTTATATCTACCGGAGGGAACATGGGACACTAAGGACTGGCAATCACTGGTTCAGAGATGGCCAAGTAGCTTTGAAGGCATACGGGTATTTATTTCCTCAATGTGGATGGAAACAACTAGTAATCTCTGGCCTTCCTTAGCTTGCCTCAGCTACCCAGCTTAGCGGCTTATACATGCTCATTTGCTTAAGCTTATTGATTTGGTTTTGCTTTCCTATGTAGCAAATACTGGTATGCTTCCTAGATTCTAAAAGTGTGTTTCAGATAAGGTTGTGATGTGGGCTTCCTAGGGAATTGAATACAAGGAGTCACACTAACAAGTGTTTCTGAAGGGACACCTGTGAAGACAGTGAGAGTAACTAAATATTGAACGATGCATTATCTCCATATCTATTGTGAATTGAGAAATAGGAATTAACTTACCAAGCCAGCTGGCTGGACATATTTGGGTTAGTGAATAGTGCTGGAAGTCAGTGGTTGTAAAGCCTGGGTGATAAGACCTCTGTGTCATCATGACTCAGTTGGTCAGAGTGTGAGCTACTACCCAGCAGCGTTATCTTTAGTTCATTTTGAAATGACTCAGCCACATTCCCATATGAGCTTTAAGTATGCTTCTCTGGTCTCCACTACCGTCCCCATCACTCAGCCCACTTTAATCCTTTCATATTGGAGGAGACAAATGACTCAATCCAAAAATGTTCTTGTGGACATCATTCTTAGTCCCTCCATTGTCACCAGAGGATGAGTTGTCCGTCTTTCCTAATCCCCATTTGGCCAACTGTAAAAATTGTTCATGGTCTTGTCCTACATTCCAGGCTAAAATGCTGCTCTTGCTTTACTGCAGAATGGGAACTCTTTGCTGTTCCCCCAAGAGCCCTGCTTGAATCCCGCTTGTGGGTTTGGCTCTTGGAATGATTTCTTTCTCTGCTTCCCTGCCTCACTATGATGTTTTAAAGCCAAGCTCAAGAAGTGTGTATGAGAGCTAAAAGGCATCTTGTCTCTGAATCTTTTTAGCATTTGTAGATATTCTTATGACAGTTTCTTACTCAGGGCTCATTTTGTTTTTTTTTTTTTTTTTCTAAAGCTTTTTTTCTTACCGTTTTAGTGATCTCTGATGTGCTTTTTAATTTCAGTGCGGTATAGCTAGTTACTTAAACTCTCACTGCCTTGTGTTTGTGATAGTAGTTCCTTACAGATGGCAGTGTGCACTTGACTCAGTAGCCAAGGTGGTGTCTGGGAGCCCTTCTGAGCTCCTGAATGGTGGTGGTGACTTACAAACCATATTTTGAAAGGCAGGACTCTATGACATTTGGTGCAACAAACAACTGTCACTGAAAAATGCTAGGATGCAGTATACTACTTTCAAACCTAGTAAACAACAAACCTCTATAGTTTTTTGTTTTGTTCTTTTTTGTTCTTTGTAAAGTCTAAATATTCTATGGGGGTTCTTCTGGGAAGGAAAATGGAGATTATCCTACATCTGATGTAAAAAAAAAAAAAAAAACACACACACCCAAACATATAGCTCCACATGTATCTAGAAATAAAACATAAAAATAATAGCTTCCACACCATTCAGACATTTCCTACTGGAAACTATGACACGGGCAGAAGCAGCACATATGCAGGACATCTGGATCACACACTCGTGGGCAGTAAGAACAAAACGTTCCCTTACAATACCTCTATTCATCAGTACTTTGGTGAGTTGGAGACTCAGACCCATCCATGATGGGAGAGTTTTCTGTTGCTTCTCTGAACAATGGAAAGCGGAAGGAGGAGAGAAGAGAGTTCATGTTACATAGAGGAACTGGCACACACAATTAGTAGCTTATTAACACACTGGAAAGACTCAATGATTATATTTGCTCATGTAAGAGTCACAGCTTTCGGTCTGTATCACTGAGGGACAAGACCTTGTTAGTTATGTTAGGAAGGCAGGCGGTGGCAATTTTTACCCTTGTCTTGTTTTCTTATGACATTATTCTTGGACAGTATCTTGTTTCCAGTTTGTCTTGAGCCCTCACTGGTTCCATGTGACAAAGGAGGTAAGAACAGGGGCTCACTTGAGTGAGTGGGTGTGGGGTGGGTGCTTGTAAACTTCAGAGCCTATTTATTAGACAAGTGATACAGTCATATAGTTGGATCAGATAAAACTGGGCATGGCCCAGAAACCTTATCCAAGGGTCCCATTTGGATGATATGATTCAGCCACTAGAGGTATACAGATGTGTCACTCTTGTTTGAGTCAACCCTGGGAGACTCTTAGACCCTAAGCCAAGAAGAAGCTGTCTGGATCCAGAGGCAATAGTTGTATGAACTGTTATCAGTGATTTGTAATAAGAAGCGAGGTAGCTACTGGCAAAAGGCAGACTGAGAAGTGGACATGAGAAACACTATAGTTGTAGACTGAATGTTGTCTTGATATGAAAAGAGAAAGAGGCAGCATGGAGTGGTTCAGTGGGTGTCCAACCATTGATCCTAATGACAGGAGGGCTCATTTAAATACACCCAGTGGGTCTACCCCACAGCTTCTGATTTAATCAGTTTTGTGTATATGACTTATTTTCTCTGTCTCATTTTTTAACTCAAAAGATCTAAATGCTTCCCTTGCCAGGTAGTAGTCAGAATTCCATGAAACTCACTTAGGTTTGAAGAAGCTGTCGGCCTGTGTGTTCGTGTAAGTAAGTACCCAGTAAATGTTAGCTCTCCTCTTCTCCACCAATAATAAAGGCTCCAGAAAAGGCCTGCTCTTAACTCACTGCAGATAAATGTGGAGGGGTGAAGATGCCCAGCGTGGGAGCCTGAGCAGTCAGCAGAACAAACTGTGGTTTTCTTATAATTCAGCTCACAGCTGCCAGATTTTTCCCAGACATGCTCACCAGTGCCCAACAAAGCAAAAGCTGCGGATTGAGCTGGATATGGGGCCCATTTCCAGTAACTGGCAGGTGTTGACAGAATGTAACATGTAAGAGGCAGCAGTAGAAGAGAGGAGCGGAGTAGTGACAGCATATGATAAGAACAAAGCAGGATACTTGTGTCTGCTTTGCCCTTTCATGGATTAGAGCATCCTAACTGGCCACAGCTTCTTCTGCCCTAAATCCACACTTAAAGCTACAAATGAGCCGACTTCCAGTGTCATAGGCTGAATCTTCTGTCCCTGTGTGCAGCCTCTACTTACAAGTCTCGCTTTGCCGGTGAAGAACAACTAACTCCTTAGCCTAGACAGGAGCCCCTTTTCTCAGGGTGTATCCCAGTATTAAGACAGTGCCCCTACATGCTTCTCTAGCATGTGTAGTATCTGGCCCAGGGCACTCTGTCCCACCCTTGACAGTTTTGGCATTTCAAGTTGGCCTGAGAAAAATCAAATGCTATATGGAATTGAACCCATCATTGTTTGCCTTCCTACATCCCAGGCATTACTACCTACATTAAAACAGAACCACACAGAATTCATCCCTATCAAAGACAGTAGACCAGCTGGGGAGAAGGTGACAGCAATACAGGGAGACATTTGAAAGGAAGCATGAGCCACCTTGGCACACTCATTTGCCGATGCACCCTTCCATCACTGGGAACTCAGTGCTGATGATATTTTTTCCTGGCTAATACAATTTAGAACCAGAAGAACCAAGTCAACAGCTTCAAGGGCCAACTCACCCAGTCTGCCAGGTCAGGATGTGGTGGGGACTGCTTGGTGGGGTGGCTCCAATTTCACTTGACGGTGTTGAGCTCCTCTGGCTTTGAGGTAAGGCAGCTATATAGTTGGGGTGGGAGAAGCAGAGGAAGACAGGTAAGACCAAGGCACTTATAAGCTAATGGCAAACCCAATGGCAGAACTTTAACTATTGCCAGATATGACCTTGTAGGCAGGGGCTCAGTGATCCCATGACATCATGACATGGTCACAGTGGGGAAATACTTTTGTACCCCCATTTTTATATTTTCTCCTAACTACATTCCTCTATTCTGGCTGAGGCCACAGATGGCTCGCCCAACTGCACAGAATGGGAAGCCCCCACATTTCTGTGGTGAAGATCTGAGCATGGAGGGCTTCGTGATGGCATTTTAGATGTGGTCCCAATGTGAGGGTCATGTTTTATTGTATGTGTGGCCTCCAGAAAGTCCTCTGCTGTCTCAGGCTTACCAGTTGCTACTTCAATAGCCCTTTCAAATGAACACTTAATGGCTCATCCAAATGTAGGAGTTTACTAGAAGTGGGACACACAGAGAATTCAGCACCAAATAAATCCTACTTAGATGCATCCTCTACATTGGGGACAGGGGTGGAATCTTTTTCTTCTGTCAACCTCAAATACAGTTTACTAAAATCTTAGCAATAACTGCCCACCATCACTTAGTAAAGCATATCCCCACTAACATGGCAGTTTTGAGGGAATGAAACACTGCTATCTATCCTTTTGCCATTGGTACTTAACCACTGGATCTAAGAAGACCAGAAGTGATCATGACCTTCAGATGGCACATTTAATGCATCCACTCTGAGAATCTTGCTGGGAAGCCAGTGCCTTGGTTTACAACTCAATAAGCAGGGCAGGAAGAAGGTATAGGGCCTGGTGCGTCCAGGACTGCGTAGATTTGTAGTCCAGTCCCCACAGCTTGGTTGGCGATGTGCCCTGATGAAAAGGGCAGTGAGGGTATGGAGGCAGAAGGTGCTCCTTCCTTTCAGCCAACACTCACCCTCAATTCTTGGTTTTACTCTTGTACTGCTTATTTGTCTCATAATCCTCCCTCACTTTCTGCTGACTAGAGTCTAAGTGGTATGAGTGTACAGATGAACATCACTGGTGTGTAGCAAAGGCAAGTGCTCGGCTAATGTTGGTTACTAGCATTATTATTTCATAGAGAAATTTCTTAGGGGGAAGAACAATTCTCCCTTCTTTTGCTTGATTTGGCACTGTGTAGTGAGTACTTTGAACCTCAGTGTGACACAGTATCAAGGATACTAAAAGCACCTTTGTGATTTCTGTGAAAAAGAAATGACTTCATGATGGTATCATAACATCATTAGAATAGAAAACTAGGAACAACCAAGCTAAGAGATTAAGAGAGCAAACATTTCTTTCCCTGGAGCCTCAAGATCTAGGACCAACCTTTCTTGGCAAGGTTATAACTTGGGTCTCTAACCTACTAGAATTTTTCTTCACCAGGAAAAAGGTGCACCTTGGCAGGATAAACATCTCATGGCTTTCTCTCCTTAATTGGAAGGGATAATGGTAAGCTCGCTCTGTGCTGTTACCTTAAGGAAGCTGCTATTACCTTAAGGAAGCAGCACTAGTATTGGGATAAGAGCCAAGGGCTTTCCACATCACACAGCAGGGGCTCCATTATAAATGACTCCCTTTCTTGGCTGCCAAATCTAGGCAACCTACAGGCTACCCAAGTCTGCTACCATGGTTCCACAACTCTGCTCACCTGATGTGGCCTTGCACATCTGGGGCATTCTGGTGACCCTGCTGTGCGCCACGAAGGTGCTCTGGGAAGAGGTGCTGTACTGAGAGCCGCTGTCCGAGGAAGTGGAGCTGGTGTGCGACAAGCGGCTGTGCTCCTTGTGCGAGGCTGTGGAGCGCTGGTACCACTGGCGCAGCTCATCTGATACTGCTGCACGGCCAGAGCCTTTGTCATGGGCGCCATCACGCCCCAACGAAGGAGTCCGCAGGATCTGGGAGCGCGATGGTGTAAGGCGCCCTGCATCGCCCTCATCGCCACCCCCACGCCAGCTCTCTTTGAACAGGCCGCCAGCTGTGTAGGAATTGGAGGTCTTGAACTGGGCCTTGACACTGTAGTGGCCCTCCTGGTCACTCTCCAGGCTGCGCACCACAACAGGTGTGGCACTGCCCTCAATATACAGTGGGTACTCCTTGATGCGGTACTGCGAGCTCGGCTGGCTCTGGCTGTGCAGATACACGCCGCTGCCACCCGTGCCTGCAGCCCCACTGCGTGCTGCCAGGTTAGGCATGCTGCCGGAGCTTGCTGAACCCAGTGCGCCTGCTGCCCGCTGCCTCTGCCGCTGCCGCTGGCGCGCTTTGGACGGTGAGTCCTCAGCTAGTGTTGAGTAGTTGGCATTCATCTGTGCCGGGTAGTAGTGCTCTGAGCTCGAGTGGCTGGTGCATGACGAGCAGTCATCCATGGGGTCTGAGCCATTGCTGCTACGAGTCCTCGGAGTATAGAAGTCAGGGCTCCCAGTGTCATTCTCTGAGCCCAGGAGCTTGCCCTGGGACTCCAAGCTCGAGCTTCGATGCCTAAAGTGCAGTGCAAGGCTGTGCAGTCTTGTGGGACTGATGTCTACTGACCTGTGGGGAGATACACGGTTATTCTTAGGGTCCTGGATCAGAGGGTGCCATGAAAGGCACAGGGCTGGAGTGAAAAAAAGCCTAGGGGGCTCAGGGCCTCTAGCCAATGGGTTGCCCTGGGAACCCAGGCACTTGGGGTCCCTGGTGAGGAAGGGAGCTAAGAGTCCCTGGAGGAGGAGCCAGGGGAGTGGAAGAACTTATAGATTTCACAAGGGTTCCTCTAAAAAGTGTTGACCTAATAGGGCTTTTTGCTTCTTAAGGAACCAAAGAATTACTGCATTCTAAGTATTAATGTTAATGCCTTTAAAATGCTAATTGTAGGTAAAACAACTCACCTTGTCCCCTCTCCCCCCAAGCAAAACACCTTGCTGGGAACAAGTAGAACTACTTAGAAAAGGAATGTGATTCTGTGAAGCCTTTTTCTGTTCATCTCTTTTCATTATAAATGAATACCTTGAGGCATTAAAATGAGTCCAGGATAGATGCAGGCTTCATTAGAAAGGTCTGTGAGGAATGGGGAGCTTGCTGAACTCCCCATAAACTGGCCTTGTTTTTCTGCCTTCAGTCCTGCTAGGATCCTTGTTAGCTCTCTCCAGGACACTGGTATTCTCTGGCTTCATAAGTCCCAGAATATGGACTGGGCTCTACTGAGTGCCCAGGGTAAAGGAGGCAGAATGGAGTCTGACTCTGGCATTGTACCAAGGTCTGGACCAGAAAGGCAGAAAGGCAGTAAGGTAGTCTGAAGGTCCAGCAGACTTACCTTGTGGAATGAACGTAGTGGGGACTCCGGACACGCAGGTCCGGGGTGGACGGCATGCTAGACTGGGAATTCCAGTGCGGGAGGCCTCGGATGGGGCTGTTCTGCAAGGAGCTGCTTACTCCAGCCTCAGTACAGCTTCCTGTGCTGGGGAAGCGTTTGTGGCTGCTGCAAGCAGAGGAGAGCCGTGCTGGTCACACTAATATACCCTTTCCCCACAAGTAGAGGCTGACTAGCTTGGGACAGTGGATCTAAACTGTAGGGAAAGTCTGCCCAGGACTCCAATTCTCACTTTCCCACTGGAGAGGGTTTTGTCCCCTCCACCCCTGCACTCAGCACAGGGTTATTGTTTTCCAAGAAACAAAATACCTATTGGACACCCTCTTGGGGCTGTGTAATTAAGGAAAATGAGGACAACAGAAGCAGACCTAAAATGTCTTCCAAGTAGTTATGTTGTTGATATTAACCTAGTAATGAGCTGCTAATGTTCATCTTACATTTCAGCAGCCTGCCCCCAGAAATCGGCTGGAAGGTGGTTTAGGTTCTGAACCACCTTGGGGACCCTCTGATTGGACTCCCCTTTGCCATTCCGGAATACTGCTGGCTACAATTTCCTAATTAATTCCTGTGGAATTTAATGGCATTAAAGCCATCTGCCAACAGGTTGATTGTGAGCCAAACCTGTACTTCTCTGAGGCTGACAGCAGAGGGCTTTGTGAGCAGAGCTGAACTGTAAGTCCAGGAAGGAAAAGAGTATCCTCTAGGAATACTGTGGTGATGTGTGGATGCTGTGTGGAGCCACCCTTTGATTCTACTCAAGCATGGCCAGAGACCTCTTTTGGGTGTCCTGACCTGACTCACCTGGAATGACTGTGGGAGGAGCGTTTCTTCACCTTCTCGTAAGGCTCGTCTAAAGAGGACTCACTCCACATCTTGGGCTTTAAGGGTGACTTGTCATAGTCGGTGCGATGATAGTGCATCTGCCTGAGCCCCTCCAGGGACTGCGGGGGAGGAGGCCTGTTGTGCGAAGATGGTGGCCTAGGAGGAAGTCCCTTGTGCGGAGACTGTAGGGGGGATATTGTGCTGGTAACCTGAGAGTCTTCTGGGTAGACAGAAAGAGAAGGAACAACTGATCAGAGACCTCATTTCCACAAACCCAGAGATTTGTCTCCACCCACCATATCAACAGCTTGGAGCTACTGGTCAATCCAAGTTGAGGCAGAGCTGTGTATGGGGCAGTAAATATCACTTCTAGTTAAGTATGAATGAAGTCTGATTGGATTCAGTGCCACTACATACTAAACAGGCAAATGTAGTATTAATGTTCTTTTTTCTTTTAATTGGTGCTAAGGAATGAACCCAAGACCTCACATGTGCTAAGCAAATGCTAAGCATGGAGATATGCCATAATTTATGTTTGAAGAGGCACTAGACATATCTTGTTTGCTTTGGGGGGAGGAGTTAACCTCCCTGAGAATTTTATCTGTTCTGTTAATCACCGTGTCCTCAGGGGTAGAATGGCAGCTGGCACCCAGTAGGTACTCAATAAATATTTGTTGGATGAAAAACATGAATTGAAAGTATATCTGTCAAGAATAATTAAATACTGGCTGCTCTGGTTCTCTACCAGCCATGCCGCCCTCACAACTACTTAAATTCTTTATAATCTTTTCTGGAATATTTATTCTGTGATGTCAGGAAGGAGCCCAGGGTCTCATGCGTGCCAGGCAAGTGCTCTCTCTCCAGTGAGCTCTACCCTCAGCACTGATCAAGGTTTTTGTCCCAGTAGCACCCTACCCTGCATCTCTGGGTACAACTTAGCACATCTGTATGCTGGATGACTTCCAAAGGCAGCAAATCCACTTAGTAAAAGGAGATGTCTCATCAGGCATAGTGACTCTTGCCTGTGGTTGCAGCAGTGGGTAGATAGAGGCAGAGAAACCAGCAGCTCAAGGCCAGCTTAAGTTACATAGTGAGTTCAATACTATTAGGAAGCTACCTAGGACCTGATCCAGTTATAAAAACAAAAAACAATCCCCAACAAAAAGTTGCTGTCTGAAAGGAAACAAGCTCTGGGCAGGCAGAGTTGAAATGTGAGGGGTGGGAGGAGTGGATATATGCAGAGGGTGCCATTCAGCTGGAGGAGAGGGCAGAGCCAGGAGGAAGCAATCCGGAGTCAGCCTAGATAGCAAGAAACCTTGAGTTCCAGGCCAGGAGTTAATATTTGGCCTAAAAGTTAATAAGAAAACTAAGAACTATTGTTATGGCAATTTTCACCTGGGAAAAGTGACAGGAGAGAATGGTGATGGGAACTTGAGGTGCAGAGGAGAGAGAGGAAAGGGAGGAGAGGGAATTCTCTCAGGGAAGGTGGGTGGGGGCTAGAGGGAAATCCCACCAACCATTCATGGGATCCTATATAGGTTTTTCAACTCTTGGTCTTCTCATAGCCCAGTTCTCAATCCCCAAAATTCAAAGGCCAAATACCAGCTCTGGGCTACTTCTGGTTGTCCCTCAAATCAGACAGGAGGAGACCCTAGCAAGCAAGAGCCTCAAGTAGGGACATAGGAGGCAATTACAGCTCTCAGGAGGTTGGAGGCCTAGGACATGGGGACAACGCTGTAATCATGAGGTCTCAAAATTAGCTAATGACTATGTACAGCCCTGGAGACTACTAGCACAAGGGAACTTCATCAACTTGTTCCTTCCTCGGCAGACTAGAGTGGCAGAGATCAATGGCAGGAAGGACTGGGGGGGGGGTGTCTCATATTCCAAACAGGCTTCTGTGTTCTCATAGAACACACCATACCTTCCCCACCCACTTAATGCAGCAGACAGTAAAATTCCACAATCTTATTTCCAGTAGGAGGCCAAGACAACTGGGTAACTAGCTCCTCGGGCTTTCCCCACATCAAGAGCAATTGTTATTATGGTGGCAATTATTGTTATTACTGTGACTTGGGTAGGCCTTTTATGTTTTCTGTCTCAATAGCCACTTACTACTAGCTGCCTGTGGTTTTCCAAGAGAGTTTAAAAAAAAATTAACTGCCAGCTAATAGATTTCCATATGATTAGTGCCTCATCGTGCCATGCTTTGGTTTAGCAACCACAGGAATAGCTTAGGAATTGTTCTAAATCTGGAATGCTTGCTTCTGTTGGAGGGGCAGGAGGGGCTCTCAACTCTGAATTTCTAAGACTTGACCAAGAAAATATCCTGGCAATTGCCATATTTGAGAATTCAGCACGAAATAAAACACCAGTTTCCAAGTTTGTCCATGTCACTAAAGGGACATTCCCACTCCTGTCCCAGAGAGGTGCAGATAGGCCGATCCTGCAGTAGGCCCCAAGTTTTATGTAGACCCAAATCAATGTCTGCCTCTTTCCTTGTATGTCAGGACTTCCCAAGGGAAGATGCACATGATGAAGGCTCTGTTCACATAAAAAACAAAACAAAACAAAAACCAGTTCCGTGTCCCCCCTTGCATACAGACAAGTACTTTAGCACCTAGGCTGTTGTCTGTTTTTGACACAAGGTCAACTTCCTTGTTGGCTCAGGTTGGCCTTGAACTTTTGATCCTCTATTTCCACCTTTCAGATGCTGGGGTTACAGGATTAAATCTCCCATGCCAGTCCCCCCAACAAAAATGCTTTGGGTATTACCAAAAGAAAATACTACATGAACATCACTTGGGGTGTCCAACCTCTTGGGCACATGTGTATTTTCTATGCTATTGAAACACAAGGGCTATATGTGGCCCATGGACTGCAGATTGGATAATCCTGGAAAACAAGTGTCAATGTAGCACTCACTGTGAGCCCAACAGTAACCCTGGGGAAGGGAAGTGCCTACAAGGAGTCCAGTCACTGTCCCAGTCTGCCTCTTTCCTGTCTATAAGGCCATTCCCAGGCTGTGTACAGAATAGTCTGGGTATAACCTGGATTCCACTCTTAAGAGCAAGGAATGGAAAAACCTACCATCTTCAAGAACAAGAGCATCAGAGAGGGAGCTGTCTTCACTGGCAATATTTCCATCTGGAAGACAAAAAGTGAAAGTCTACATGGTTAACACAATCTGCAAACAAAGCCCTGTGTGTGGGAAAGAACAGCTGCCCTCTTCCCTATCCTGGCAACACTCTCGCATCTTTTTTGCATAGGCAAGGAAAGAAGCCATAAAACAAAACAAAGATGTTGGGTGTTTCCTTTGACAGTCCCTGTGGTGGGTTGTGAGCACATCCTCCCCACCCCAGATCCTAGTCTTTGTGTACTTACGCTCTTGTTCACTAGACAATGTGGCTCAGCATATCACAGGAAGGTGGTGGGGCCTGGTTAAGCCACATCATTGTCCTAGAGCAAACTTGGGGCAAGTACCAGCCGAACCAAAGAAGTCAGCAGCTGTTATACAACAGATACGAAACTAGGGGAGGGAACTTAGTTTTGCTCACATGGTAATAGATGGTTTCTCAATGAACTTAAGTCATTAGCAGAGAAAACAAGCATGCTAAATACAGACTCCATCTCTCCAAAGCTTATTTTTATAGTCACCATTCAATTAGGAGCATACCTGAGAGGGAGACAGTGAAACAATGCTCCCTCCCAATGGGGAAACTGAGGTACTCCCAGGAAAGAGGGTTTGTCTGAAGTGACTCTACTCTCTGGGAACTGCCAGCAAAGGTCTAAAGTCTTCAGATTGTGAAGACTCCTTTTGCCTGAGATCTAAGGAGTTTGCTCACTCCTAATGTGGACAAACCTCTGTGATGAAAACTTACGTCATTGTGGCAGCAAAGCAGGGAAGGCAGATTCTTGAACAGTTAACAAAACAAGGCCGGAGGCTTGCATGGAAGAAAACAGGAGCTGGCACAAGGAATGGTTTAGAAGCCAGCGTTGCTAGCAGACCCAAGAGAATAGCCTTCACTCAGGTGGGCCTCAGAATGGGCTCCCTGAGGCCACCTGGTGAGACAGGCACCCCCAGGCAGCTCCTCCCAGACATAGCTCTGATGGTTCTTCTAGATGTTTCTACAGAGCAAGGAAGTTCAAATGCCTTTGAGGAGGCCCCAAAGGAGGCAACAGCAAAGAAGGGCTGACTCACTGTAGCCCTGTTAGAAAGTGGGGGAAAGTTCCATTTTCATGGCAAAGGACAACAGAAGGAGATATGGGAAGATGGGCACTTCTGAGTTCCTAGGGCAGAAAGATGACTTATGGCCAACCCTATCCCAACTAGGAACTCACTTTCTCCCTATTGTTTGATAGACAAACTCCAAGAAGACTTTGGATATCTTGTAATCTCCAATCCACCACTGCTTCCTTAGTATCCCCATATTTTTAGGAGATAGTTTTAGATCTACAATAGTTTTAGATCTACATTATATATAACACCAGTTATCATTCCCACCATTTTAAGTGTTTAGGGACTTAAATACACCAACACGATTACACAACCACACCACCGCCCATCTTCTCCTTCCATAGGACTTTCATTTCCCAACTAGAAACCTGGCACCTGTCCATCCCCACTGCCACAAAGCTCCTGGGAACTTCTGTATCAGCTCTGTCTTCTTAGAACTAAGGTATTTTCAACACTCGTACCATCTGGGAGAATACTAGCACATATTATCAAGAATTCACTGGATTAGAGAAAAGATGGTAACAGTGGGAGAGACTTGATGCTTGTTGGTGGATTTGAAGGTATTTCCTTCTAGTTTACCATCAGTGTCTGGCCCTGGATGAGAACACATATTCCAGACAATCCATGAGGGACAGTCCAATCCTACAAGCTATAGTTCTTGGGGTAAGAAGTTCCTGCTAATAGAATTAGCTTGAGGGGGACAGACTGGGGACAAGGTGGTATCTGCAGGACTTAATCCAATATTCTAGCTATGCACATTGTCTTCCAGCCTTAGGAAAAAGAGTTAGGTCTCCAAGAACTTCAGGGCTTCAGCTATGTTGAGGCTAGGCTAGCCCAGTAACCTCCACAGTTCATGATGACATCTGAAAAGAGAGTTGGTTCCCCTAGGAAGAGTCATACATGACATCAAGGTTCTATGCATGCTCTCTTTCATTTGTGCCCCCACACTGATTGTTAGGATGGGACATCCGGGTCCGTATTCCCTTTTATGGATGGACAGTAACTTATGTGGGTAAGAGGCTATTTGGATCCTGCAAGGATCCAGATTAGGACCTAACAGGAGCTGGTTGTCTTGGAGCGGGACAGGAGCATGTGGGTGGCACTGACCATCTATGACTAGCGATGCCCTCTGGGTGGGTCTCTTCCCTGACTTGATGCGGTTCTCATTGATTGCATTTTCAATCTCCTGCAGCTTCTTCAGTGCATTCAGATAAGAGGCTTTTCTTTGCTTCTTGAGTTTTTTGCTGACATTGGGGTCACTGGCTAAGCGGCGGGCAGCCTCGGTGATCTGGGACTGAATTGCAAACTCCCGTTCCAGGCGTTCCAGCTCAGCTTCCTGTGGGAGGGAAAAGCAATGCTTGATTAGAGCTTCCAAAGATCCTGCTGCCCAAGGAGACCTGACCTTGCTCACCTCTAGTCCAGACCTCTGCCCCAGCTTTTCTGACCTTCCTTTCTCCCACCTCTACCAAGATCTGTTGAAGACTAAGCTTTGGAGGAAATTCAGAACCCTTCACTATCGTTTTCTTTCTACTGGGGCATAAGGCGCGGCTTCTGCAACAGCCTTCTGTTAGCATCCTCTAGGGTTTGTTCATGTGTGGACATCTCGTGATCTGCCCACATATGTCATACATCTTTGTGTGTCTCGTGTTAGGTCTTTGGGAAGCTCCTTCAGCTAGCCCTAACTCTTCTTTTCACACTTGTGTTTTCATAAAAGCCCTTCTGGGCCCTCTAGGAGGCAAAGACGATGTGGGGGTGGGTAGTGGGACCAGTTTTACCCCTGCTCCCTGGATAGCTTTTGGACTCTCTCCCTTCCTGCCTTCTTGTGCAACTCCCTCCCATCTCTCTCACTTCCTTTGGCTCCTTTATCAAGATGGAGTCTCCCCTGTGTTCCAGGCCTGGGAGAAATGAGACTATAGATAACAGCTATACCTGGAAGACCCAGAAGATAGCACCCTGGATAGAGCACTTGCTGCTGGCCTATTGTTTAGATGTATACACACCAGGGCGGGCTAGGAGTGGAGGTGGATCATGCATGTGTGTTAGGATTTGTGGATGAACGCGGAGTCCCCTTATGTACAAAGCAGTTTGTTTCTTACTTCTTTTCTCCCCTGGTTTTATGCTGTGGATGTAAACTGTCCCTCATGCTTGGCTTGTAAACTGGCACAGTTTTACAAAGTTATGTAGCCTTTAGGAAAGAGTTCCAGCTGGAAGTAGATGGCTGGGAATGTGGTAAGGTAGGAGAGGTTGGGGCTGATAACTCTACCTTCTGGCCAACCTCTCTGTTTCCTGTCTGATGGGAAGATTTAACAAGGCTCACCCCAAGCTCCAGCCTCCAGGTTCTCCTCCATGATGAAATGATAGTCCTTGAAAGTACCAGCCAGACTAAAACCTTCATCTTTTATGTTGCTTTTGTCAGGTGTTTTGTCATAGTAACAAGAAAGTAAACTGACTTACTCTGGGACCACTTCATCAAAGCTGGCATGAAGCAACAAAAGTTACTCCAGAGTTTGATATCTGGTGGGTGCAAGGGCACGGAGTGGCCTGCGTGTGTTCCGGGAAATCACAGGAGATAGGGGCTCCAATGAAGCCCATACTACATAATTCTACAATGACCACACAGTGGCCTCTCCTTTCCAGTGCACACACATGACCATTGAAGACCACGTATGTTGCCCTAGATGATTTGCAGTTACATTAAAGTTTGGCAGGGACTGACCAAACTGAGGAAGAGGAGACAGTCATGTTTCCTGGATACCACGTCTTCCTATGATGGTGGCCCAACAGTATGCCTCTGAGCACAACAGGCCAGGCTGTGTGTGTGTGTGTGTGTGTGTGTGTGTGTGTGTGTGTGTGTGGAGGGTCTGCTAAGGAAAATAATCTTTGCCAGATTTCAATGACTTTTGTGCACTTAAAGTCTAGAGGAGGCAGGAACCAGGAGTGGGAGGAAAATGTAGGCTAAAAGGAACCACTTAGAAAGACAATAAACTCCTTCCAAATCCTTCCAGTGTTGGCCACACTTGTTTTCTCAGAGGAAGAAGGATATCAACATGGACTCCTGCCCAGAGCCTTGGGGCAGGGACAAAACCCAGCCTGTGAATTTGGGCTCCCTGAAGCAGCTGTTTCTGGGTGGTTATGATAGCTCTGGTCCAAGACACTGACCCTGAGATTTGCAGGCATCCAGAACAAGTCTTGATATTCCAACTGAGTCAAGGACAAGACTGAATGCCTTGTCTGTGGAAATGGCCATGTGGCTAGGAAAGCAAAAGGGTATGCAGGAGAGCTGCGGCAGCACACACACAGCAAGAGTTAGTCCCTTCCTGTCTGGAGGAAGCTCTGCGGCTTTTATCCGCTTCCTTTTATGATTTGCAGAAGGGTGCTTAGGGGCCAGCCAGGAATTCTCAGAGCTCTAGGGTCAGCTTTCTTGAAAAGTAGAAAAAACATTACAATAAAACAGTGGGAAATTGAGGTGTGGAAAGATACTCATTAAACATGGGGTGCTTTTTTGAAGCTCAAGCTGAGATGACGATGAAGCTTTGGAAGCCACCTGACCGCATGATGCTCAAAACCACTCCCCTCTTTCCACATCTCATCTCCATTTCCAGCAGCTGTTTGCTGAGCATCAGGCATCTGTTAAGTGTCCAGTGCAATGTTCTTCTAGCTCATTTAACCCTAAGCGATAACCCAGAAGTTGGCACCGAGAACTTGAACATATGGGAAAGGAAGCGGCCCAGTTAGGCATCACTTTGGATGAAGCACTTAGGTGTGCCCAGCAGGCTTCCAGGGTTTTGTAACCAACCTTCACACATGTGCCTGAATGCACGCCCTCTGCCTTCACACTGACCTTATTTTAGGAGGATGTCTTTCTCAGAGTCCCTTAAAAAGCTGAAAGTACCTCAATTTTCTTTCCCTTTGTGGTGGTTACTCTTAATTGTCAAATGTCTGCAAGGGATTTCCTAGACTAAGTTAATGGAGTGGGAAGACCCTCCCTAAATGTAGGTGACACCATTCCAAGAGATGGAAAAAGTGAGCAGAGCACTCTCTGCTTCCTGGCTGTAGATGCAGCTTGACCAGCTGCCTCATGCTCTTGCCCAACCCTTCCCCACTATGGTTGTATCCTCAACTTTGAGCCAAAGTCAACCCTCCCTCCCTCTATCCCTCCCTCCTTCCCTCCCTTCCCTTCCTCTGCTTCTGTCAGGATTTTATTCCAACAACAAAAATTAAAGTGTCAGGCTTTGAGTCCTGAAGTTGGCTTGAGTCTTCTACTTGCTAGCTCTATTTTTCCTGTATTTTCTACTAGCTCTAATTAATGAGTTAACTCTAGTCAGAAGAAATTTGGGAAGACCTTGAGGCCTGAAGATAAACCTAGTTTTAGCTTTTTGCTTCTCTTTGTTGAAAGCTGGATACTTGGTTATCCCCGCCCCCACCCCCCACCCAGATAGTTCCTTACCGTGTAGTTCTGACTGTCCTGAACTCACTCTGCAGTTCAGGCAGGCCTGGAAACTCAAAAAGATCTGCCTGCTTCTGCCTCCCAAGTGCTGGTTGTGATTAAACGTGTGTGCCACCACACCCAGCTAAGCTTTGATTATCCTTTAAATCTGAATTTTCCAGCCTCAGCCCTCACCATCGTATCACCCAAAGAGAATAAAAACCATGTTGAAATATGGTTTTTCCAAAGATAGACAACCGAGGCTATGACAGAACAAGGTAAGATGCATGGCCTCATGCAGTGATTTTAGCAGCCATCTGACTTCCCCAGCCAACGAGAGCTGTAGCTGGAGATTCATTTCTTCCATGTTTTCTTCCACTTGTTCAGGCATCAGGTAAGACCAAGAGTAACAAAGGGCTGGGAGGCCATTACAAGACATATATATTTTCATGTTCCTGCCATGTTCTCCACAAGCTTAAATGGCCACTTGCAACTGGTTTACAGTGTTAGATAAACAACTTCAACAGAGACCCATTGTGTGCTCTAATGCAAACAAACTCATCCTATAAAGAAAAATCATATAGCAGCTGGCCAGTTCACCCAAGAAAGGGTAAAAGGGAAAACTGGGCATTTGGAAACAATGAAGAAATTATTTAGAACCTAGCAACTCCAACAAGTGGGGCAAATAAGGATAATGCAAAAGGGACAATGGGAAAGACTACAACACCAGAGGAACATACCTCTCCTTTGGGCAGGATTTTCTGTTCATCTAGCTTGAAGGCTGTCCCAATTCTTCTCCGAACAATAGGTGGCTCCTCTCCTGGATCCAGGGGATATTCAACAGGCAGTTTGCCCGTGAGCTCCTGCATGTGCAGAAGAACATTCAGAGAGGTTGGAGATCAGCAGAGGACAGAGATCCTTGTTTTGGTTCTAGGACACACATCCCATGCACAGATCTGATGCACGTGGAAGGCCCGTTAACATTAGCGTCTTGTCTAATTATTGTCTTGTCTTGTTCATGATACAGCTGGATCTAATGGTACAAACCTGCAACCTAGCTACTCAGGGGCTGAGGTAGGAGGATCACAAAGTCAAGACCAGGCTGGCCAATTAATGAAACCCCGTCTCAGGAGACTCCTCCAAAACAAAACAGCCCCCTCAAAAAGATCCGCAGTCATAGTTCAGTGCTACATCTGAGTTGATAAGGAGTGGTTTAAGTCTGTAGCTAACCTATACTGTAGAAGCCAGAAAGGATGGCAAGAAGTCACTCTCAACACCAGAAGAGGATGGAGACACCACTTGGTATATTCAGCAGGCATATCCCGGCAATCACCAGTTCTGGCTTTCTGACCCTCAATCAGTGCAGACGATACAGGATGACTGTGAAGAGGAAGAGCTCAAAAGTGTCCTCTTGAAACTCATCATCCACACAGAAAGCTTTTGTATTCAGCAGCCCAGATCTGAGTGCCCACAGTAGGAAAAGTCAAATCAGAGGAGGGGGCCCGAAGGCCCTCTCCCCACTAGTATGTGTGTCTATGTGGTATGTGTGTTCACAAGCACCCTCTCCTGGGCCTCTTTTGTGTTCATAGCACTGGATATGGCTCCTTGGACCTTTTGTCCTTCTGTAGGCATTTTAGAACCTTAAAGCAGGATGGTCCTGTTTGCATGGACTGCCTCTGCAATATTCTCTCTTTAAAAAGTGGTGCAAATGTTTCTCAAATAGTCATATATTTATTCTGTGACTTCTTACCTACTCCCTGCTTAGGCCTTCGACAAATAACCTGCTAAGATTTATATATATATATATATATATATATATATATATATATATATATATATATATCTCAAACTGTTAGGACTTCCTGTTCTGAAACTTATGAAAAGAGAAATTGTTAACATTACTGTGGATTTGTGACTCTAACGTGTTTGTGGTTTCAGTCCATATTTTTAAATGAGGCTACTGATTTTCCACCATCTGCTTGAAAGTACCCAGGTCAAGGTCTTGATTCTCCAGATATTTAATCTGATTTCATAGGTAACCAGAGCCGCATGGTGGGGAAGTAATTTAATGCATGGCAGTGGGCTCTGTAGCTGTCAAACACTCAGAGCTCCCACACTGCCTTACTCTGGCTCTCTCTTCCCAAGGGGTCAAACAGCATGTCCTGTTTCTCGAACCTGGAGGATCTTTGAGCACAGCTTTAGCAGGGAGCCTCCCAGGCCTCTTTATCTCACATGTGTCATGAGCCTCTGGTGGAAAGAAACATACATGCACAAGGGCCTGGCTTCGGGTTACTTCTACCTAAGTTATATTTTCTGTTCTCGAAGTTATAGGAAGTGGGAGCTTTTGTTTTCCTTACATTGCATTTGGGGAAACTTTTACGGTACAGGCTGGTCTTGCCTTGACATGTTTCTCTCATGCTGTAATGTATATTCTTTGCTTGGTTTAGGGACTTCTCTTATTAAACACAAAACAAGGCTTTACAAATTATGAAAGGCAGACACTATCCCATGTTTTTTTTTCCCTCTCCTTGAAGCATAGTCTTTATAAAATTTTTGCTAATATTTACAGTATCACATAGCACATTCTTCCCAGCCAGGCCCATGGCTTTCCTGATTTGCAATGGATTTGTGCTAATGTGGTTCTGCCTTGAGAAAGCTCCGGTTTAAATCAATCCAGACATAATTAAACCAAGTTGAAATGTAATGTGATCTCATTCTATGGCCCACTGTTTCATTCTTCCTGCTGCAAAACATTCTTCTTTGCGGGGGGGGGGGGGGGAGTCACCTCCTGGATTTGGTTAGGGACCCTCTTTATACTTGCTTTTTGGAACTGTTTACCCGTGGAGCATTTGGTCATGGTCTATGGAGCACAACCAACTCCTAGGAGAGCAACCCCACGCTGTGCTCATGTGAGGCACATGTGTGTGCACACACATACAACACACACATGCATGACTGTATGTTTCACACTAAGACGTGAGGTCTATAAGCACTGCTAACAAAGAGTTATGGAATAAGCATTAGAAGGGAGGAATGGACATTTCAATAAATTTCAATAAATGTGAGAGCCTCTACAAGCTTATTAAAATTAGGACTCTACCAAAACGGACAGAAGGAGACATTTTCTGTGTGGGGAGTGGAGGGTGTGCCCTTGTCATAGGCACATGTGGAGGTCACTGGACAACCCTTGGGTGGCTTTTATCTTCTGCCTTGTTTGAAACAAGGTCTCTTGTTGTTTGCCCCTGAGAATACTAGGCTGGTTGCCTCCCATCTCACCACAGAGATTACAGGCCTGTTCTACTCTGCCAGGCTTTTATCTAGGTTCTTGCGATTCAACTGAGGTCCTCACACTTGTAAAGCAAGTGCTTTAACCATTGAACCATCTCTCCAGTCTGATGTGACATTGCTTTACATAAAACTTAAACGAATCCCTATGCTGGGTATATAGCTCAATGGAAGAACACTAGCCTAGTATGCCTGAGGCCAAATAACAACAACAACAACAACAACAACAAAAACAACAAACCACCACCACCTCACATCCACTGCCAAAGTAGGAGAAGATGCCATTTGCAAAAGAAAGAGCTAAAGAAATAGCAGATCACCAGGTTTAAAGTGATTACTATATATTTCAGGGGACATCCTATTGTCTTTGTTGGCCTCCAGTGATGCTACATTGTGTCCAATGACAAACTTAGAAGAAGCAAAAGCTTCCCCAGCAATAAACTGAGGCACATGCTCCTGCAAAGGAAGACAGTGGCAGGGCATTATACAGAATGAGGCAGTGTCCTGTGAGGACATGTCCTGTACACTGTGGTATGCTATGCATGGTTTGGAAATTGTTAAAGTGACTTGTCGTTTAGCCTCAGTGTATGTATGTGTGTGTGTGTGTGTGTGTGTGTGTGTGTGTGTGTGTGTGTGTGTTGTGGTGTGTGTGTCATGCATAAGGTTCAGTTAGTGAGTGCTTTAACCGACACTGGTGTTTCCTCCATACCTTGCTTCTAACAAAGTTTATCATTGGAGGTGTGGGTGTTCCCAGTCCTGGGGAGGGAGCACACTTGTTTTCCTGAAAGTCAGTCTGTATTGTCTCCACCCTGTCTTTTGTCCATACTGATGATGTATGACATGACAAACAACACAGCCTTAATTGCTTACGGCTTCCCGGAGACACAATCTCTTCAGTTCCTCAAGCCTCTGGCGCAGCGTGTCCTCCAGAGCTTCCTGCCTGGATTTCAAGGCAGCCAGCATGTCTTTCTTGGCCGACTGCGAGCTATCTGATTCCTGAGAACCTGTCAATAAACAGCACGGTTACTAGACCAACTGACAGGGCACACATCTGGACCACTAATGAATTTCACTGGTGCTCACACTGAGGATATGGGATTTACCCCGGGAATCAAGGAGCATGAAATGAGACAGGTGTGCAGTGTTCCAAGCATGAGGGGTGAATTCCAACACCACATGGGCTATATAGCTACTCAAAGGACTGGCAGGAAAGCTGACACTCTTGAACAAGAGCATTGTCATTTCTGATTATCTTAAGACATGTCACATACCTGTTTTACTCTCACCAGCAATTTTAATACATTTTACACAAGGAAAAGGGAAAGTAAAGTTCAAGCAAGTGTTAGTAATTTCAATGCAGGTTTCACATTTTCTTTTTGTCTACTGGGAGACGCTGGTTAATATATATATATATATATATATATATATATACATATATATGTGTATATATATATATATATATACATACATACATACATTCACAGCAAAATATCTAATATAGACAGGTATGAAAATCACCCAGAGATAACTATCATATTATGTATTTTCTCTTGGTCTTTCTCCCAAAGGATACACACACACATGAATTGGAATTTTGCTCACTATTTTATCTTAGTGCTGTATCCTGAGAAAATTCTCTCTTAATGGAGGGAATATAATATAGAGGGATGCATACGTCTCAAAAGACTTATTGGTATTTTCCATGCTTTCCTGGCTAAAATATCTGCATGATGATTCAAACAGCAGACTTCTAGATAGGAAAACTTTTTAGAAGTCAGCACTGTGAATCAAATGAAAGAACAGTGACCTGAAAATGCCAACTGGAGATCAAAAGAATAATTTCAAGGCTGCAGTGTCTGGCTCTTGGAGCAGGTTTCCTGTAGAGAGGCTAGTGGCTCCTTTCTACCTTGATGGGGTAGGGAAGCATACTGATGGCCTAGAAAAAGCCAGGCTAATGTCTGCATTTCTTCTCATGTTCACACTAGCAGAACTATTAGAGATGAACAGGTATGAATATGCATCGAGGGGGCTCAGACCACACCACCAGCAGCAGTATCTAATCATCCCACATGCCTAGATAGCTGGCTGTAGGTCTGTAAACTCAGTTTCTCAGGGTGCTGAGGCAGGAGGGACACACGTTCAAGACTAGCCTGGGCTATAGGAGAGCAGTTCAGAGATTTAGATTAACACAGTTAAAGATGAACATCCCTACAGTTAAAATTAAAACACCTTGCTGGGAACAACTAAAGCTATAAACAAACAGAGATGACCACTGTAGACCTAGATCCGAATGTTAATGTTTTACAGACATCAATTCGCCATAAGCTAAACAATATAAGAAACGCAATCCTAATAGAAATCCCAGCAGACTTCGTGGTGGTGGGGTGTGGGTTAGGAACTGCATTTCCATAAGAGACTACTGAATCTTTGGATGGTTCAGCAACCAGGTAATGGATTGGAGGCTGATTCGATTGGTAAAGATTTCTCAGAGTCCCAAGACATTAGAAAACTTCAGTGCCTTTGCATTAAACAACTCTGCCACCCAAACACCTATAAACACACTATCCTATTCTTTAAGGTCTCTGATCAGGAAGCCCATCCATATTCCCGTAATTCCTGTTCTCCCAGATCCCTACGATCTTAATAATGAAGAATTCTCAGTGTCTAAGTACAATTTGAGTTTGGCTTAGGCTTTGTTCTCTTCCCTTTCTGGTCCATTTGAGCTTGAAATTGAAGCCATCTATCACTGTAAGAACAAGCCATCTTTGTGAATCCCCAGGAGCAAATAAATATTGTCTGTCCTATACTTGGGTACTATAATTAAATTGTATCTCATTTTAGTAAAAAAAATAATAATCTACTGCCTGTATATCATTCCGTTATGGCAGCTACCTTCTAAGCTTGAACCATGTTGTAACTCTGTCCTGAGTTTTTGACATGCTTTAGTTGCAGGTGTCTGAACTTAATGGCAAACTGAAGCAAACACTTGACACTTGCTGTGGCTCCATTACCTCATGGTTCTCACAGACTAAATCCAGATGTGCCATTCTCAGGTATTGCATCACTGCTTCTTATTGTGGGCTCCCCCTTTTTACCAGTGGTCCATAGTTTTCATATCCCTGGACCCACTACTTTGTGTTTACCAACTCTAAACCCTCTCCAGGCTGTGTGCATCAAATGCAACCTGGAAAAATCATTATGAATCTTAATTGGGCCTCTTAGTCCTCGCCACCAATCCCATTTGAAGGCAGGAAAATTTAATGAGGCATTCTCTGTTCCATCCTCTGAAAAATTAATAAGGATGTAAAATGATACTGGCAGGAAGTCAGACTTTAAAAACATGACTGGGGAAAACTTGGGTCTGAAAAGATTAAAGAATTTCTAGCATGAGTGAAAAATTCATCGTTTTCCCTTCACCCCTGCCTAACCTTTCAATAGGAAATGATGATTTATTGAGTCAAGTCGAAGAACTGGCGATGTTCAGGAATGGCAAATCTCACCACAACATTAAATTTTGGGAAGCAAGCATATAATTTGTGGATGACTGGTCTGCTGTTATAGGATTAGTAAAGATTTGGCCTTGAGTAGCTGGGTTCATTACTGTTACCTAAATTATTATTTCTAATAATTAACTTAAATCTCAACCCACATAAGATGGGCTAGAGAGCCTTGGCAGGCTTGATGGCTCCTGAGTTTTTCTGTATGTATCTGGCACCCCAAATGCTGGCTGGCTCCACTGTACACCTTGAGTTTGGACATTTCTGTAGGAGGAATACAGTGCCTAGAGACTAGGTTACACCTCTGCAAATAACTGAATCTGGCTATTTTGGACACATAGGTTTCCACTCTAATGGTAACTGCACAGCCAGGTAGATGGAAAACATCTGGATTTGATAAAGTCCAAGCCATTTGTTTACATGAGTGACTCTTGAATAAGTCACTTGCTCTTCTGTCTCGGAGGTAAAGAATGGATGAGATAAGGCCCATAAACACTTAGCCCTGTGCCTTCACATGGGTGTTGACTTACCACAGTGGTGTATAATTAGAGAAACCATTGATATTATCTTCCCCCTTTTTTTTTTAATAAGGTACCCACCAAAGGTAAGAACTTCACTCAACAATTCAGTGTAGGTGAGGACTCTGAAGCTCCCTCTATAGAAAGATGCTATGACAGGTGGAGGCAGTATCTCTAGACCACGTTTCCTAAGCTCCAGGACTTCAGATCTGCCTCTGGGGCTACTGCAGGTGAAGTTGGGAATGTGGCTGAGGACACTTAGTGGTCTGTTGGTCTCATCCCATCTTCTGAAAGCTTAAGGTGGCCTCACATGAACTTGTTGCATTTGAGAAGAGGTTCCACTGCTGTCCTGTCTTGAGGGAAACCTACTAATTGGAGGCAGGAGTTCTGATGACTTTGCTGAGTAAGAGCTCATATGATCTAAGCCTGTGGCTATGACCAGCAGCTAGGATATATGGCCACCAAGAGCAGAATTGACCATGTGCTTTAGAACCAGCCCACTGGAAGCCACTCAAACACCTAGAAAAGAGGACCGTAGCTGTCTGTGATGATGAGCAGCCTCCACAAATGACCTTTAGACATTCCCTGAATGAGATTCTTGCCTCCTAAAAGGGATAAAGAAAGGAAGCCAGCGAACCAGGCAGAAATCAAGAGATGCTTTTTGGGCTGAATACCTCAATAGTAGAAACTGAATCAGGGGAGTCTTGGCGCACAGGCCAATGGGAGTTTCTCAAACTAAAAGTTCAAGACACACAAATGAATACCCTGCCCATCTAGTTTTGTTTGCTTGTTGGAGACAGGGTAGACTAAGCTTGCCTTGAACTCACAGTGATCACCTGCCTCTACTTCAAGAGTGCTGGGACTAAAGGCTACCACTCCCAGCAGACAAAAGTCATTTCAAGTATATATTTGGACTTGGGGAAGTCTGGCACTGTCATTTGTCCATTATATATTATTTGAACCCATACATAATGCACATGCAAGACCTCTCCCAGGTTGTATGTTTAGCCTGTAAAACTGACAAAAACATACAAATCTGCTGTCTTTGAAAAGGACAGTCACTGAGAAGAACATCTGGGTTGTCATCCCATATCCACCATTGAGCAATATAAAGCTTTGGAGTTTCAACCTTTTGAGAACCACTGAGGGCTTGTCTGTAAAGTGACCACCTCACCAGTCTTTGAAAATGTCTCCAACTTGAAGCACCAATTACCCAGTTAACAACTAACTGTACGTGAGTGCAGTTACCCAAGAAGGCCAGTAGAGGGCACTGTTTCAAGAGATTGTGAACCTGACATGGGAGTTGGAAATCAAACTCTGGTCAGGTGATTCCATCTCAGCCATTAGACCTCACCTCTGCAAATTTTATCAAAGAAACTTTAGGTCTGGTATAGTTTGTTCCTCCTCCCTCTAGGAATGACAAGCATTCTATCACCTCTGATCATTTCACGGCTACTGCTGTTTCTGCCTCCTTGAGGAGGAAGGGATGAGGGGGTCATGTTTAATTACCACAAGTAAAAAAGGGTTTACCTTTTCCCCCAGCAACAGGCCAAGGCAAGTATCTGTGACTGTGAATGCTAAATAGACTTAAATTGGAGCTGTCTGTAAGGTGAAGTAAGAAGGATGGTTGGAGCATCTCCTCTGTACCCAGAAGAATGAAATTCAAATTTTACACATTGAAAAACAAACAAACTAACTAAACAAAAAACCAGTAGCCAAGGGCTTCTGGGAAGGGATGAAGGGAAACAGTGAGTTGGTGTAGTAGGCCAATGAGAAACAGAGATGAGATGAGTATTTTTGAAAGATATGGATAAAACATGAATATCCTTTGGGAGACGGTGTCAAACAACACTCAGATTTACAGGGAAGGGTATTCAGCATACTCTTTGGACAATGGGGCAGGGATAACTGTGTGTGTGTGTGTGTGTGCGCGCGCGCGCGCGTGAGTATGTTTCAGCTCAGCTACAGACTGGCACTGGGATGGGGTAA